TCGGTTCTCTGGAGGGTGACGCATTACCTTGATAGGAAAATAATCCCTTAAGTGTTTCCAAACCGTCTGGTTCCTCAACCACTCATAACGTCTTCCACCTGAGGGCACAGAGATATGAGTGGAAAAATCCCTGGCGCTCCCTCCCACTTTCTCTCACTACCTGGGTCCCTGTGCAAAACTCACCTTTGCTGGGCGTGTCCCAGTCCAGGTAGAGCCACGTCAAGTAGAAAACAGAAATGAACCAGAACCGTGTGAAGAGAAGAAAGATGACAAGGCAGGAAAAGAAAAGGCCTACGTAAGAAGAGAGAAAGGAAAATGGATTTATTTCTGAAACCTGGAGGTTGCACCCAGCCATTCTCCACCTTCCACTTTCCATTCCCCCACCCCCAAATATCCTGCCATCTGGTGGGGTCACTCTGACCTCAAGCCTTCAGGCCAGCAGTCCCCTCTTCCCAGCCAGAGCCCAGGCACCCATGCCTCTCTTACCCATGAAGAGAAAAGTGAGCACATATTGGAAGATCCCCACTGCTTCTAGCCACTGCTTCCACCGGGGTTTCGCAGGAACAGAGGGCGGCAGGGCTGTGGAGTCATCCATCCTCTGCCAGCAGGGCTCCAGAAGGGGACAGGGGAAGGTTTCGGGGCCCTGGCCTGCAGGAAGACTTTCTTGTTGGGGCAGAGCCCTTGGGGCCCAGCTGGTCTTAGGGCGCCTCCGGGAAGGGCGAGCCCTGTTGTGTGGGGGGAGATCTTTGGATCCGGAGCCCCAGATGTCTCCAGCCCCCTTCTCAGACTGATCTTTGAACGTCCTGGGTCAGTCGATCTAGGCTGGCCCCTGGGCGGAGCTGGGAAGGGGTAAGGAGTGTGCAGGGGAGGGGCAGGCCTGGGTGTCGGAATAATTGATGTAGGGAGTAGATGGGAAGAAGGTGGCCAGCTGGCTGACTGGGGCCCAGCAGTCCAACTGAGATTGATCTGCCATGCAGCCCGCTGGCCCAGCAGGACCCTGACTCAATCCAGGACCTGTTTGAAGGTCTCTGGGAGTGTCAAGGCCACCCGGGAGCTGTCATCTGGAGTGCACCCGCACCTCCCATGCAGTACACAAAAGAGCACACACGCTGCAGGTCTATTCTTCACCTTTAATTTCATGCCACACCTGCAGTCACCGAGGGGACTGAGAGGGGCCAGAGGCAGCAACGTGTCCAGGTGAGGACCAGGTGCCTTTTCAGTGGGGTTGTCATAGCATGCCTTGAGCTCCTCCAACAGCTGCGTGAGCCGCTCCACGTAGCGCGGGCAGCCTGTCCACTTGTGTGCGCTAGACTGAGGGCTTCACAGCACCGGAATCTGGACCCCCACTCCCAGCAGGCCAGGAGGCAAGGGGGAGCTGGGGGCGAAGGTTGCTAGGATCCCTTCGTCTGCCCGGTCTTGGTCTTGCGTTTGCAGTGATCGGTGGAGGCGGAGATCCAGACAAAGCCGCCTCTTGGGAGGAGAGGCCCGCGAGCGCATTGCGCTGCCTGGAGACTGGGCATCATCAGGCCCGAACGTGGGACCCTCGCCTCAGGTCCGGGGAGAATACGCGTGTCCCGAACTCCCGCAGAAGGGGCGCTCTTGCCGGGGAGCAGAAGGGCGGAGGCTGGAGCTCACCAATGGTGAGGATGGGTGTGCAGAAGCTCTGCAGGAGTTCCAGGCGGCGGTGGGACAGCGACAGCGACAGCGCTACAGAAGCCACTGAAGAGCTTCCAGCGCCCTCCTCACCCATGAGCCCGGAGGGTTTGGAAACTGTTGGGAGCTTGTTCTACGAATGAGAAGACAGGCACCAGGGAAGCTCTAGGGGAGGGGGCGCAGCTGATTCTTGGCCTTGCGGGGTGCCAAGCGCCGGAGGCTATCCACCTGGCCACCAGCCTTTGCCTCATCCGTGTACAAGTGCCAGAATGAATCCCTTCTTCTTGATCCCCAAGCTCAGTGCTCCGGGTTTTGCCTCCAGCACCTCCAGGAGTCCTGACACTGCCAGGACAGCTACTTGGCCCAGTCTAGGTCAGGAGTGCAGATAGGCAGCCCTGGCTTTGTAAGAGGGGCCAAACCTGGGGAGAGGGCAGAGGCTGGGGTCCTGACACCTGGGTCTTCAAGAGATGAGGGGATGGGAACCAGCAGTTAGCGTAATGGCTATGTCGCTGGACTCCCACGTAGTCGACCGCGGTTTGCGTCCCAAACCCGGTGGCTTAAAACTCACGCCGGGCGCGTGTGCGTGCATGCCCAAGATCCCGAGAGGAGAATGGAGAAGGGATTGCGGAGTGACCATCCCCCCTGGGGGGTGATTTCTCGCTTTCTGTCTCTCTGTCTCTGTCTGGCGAGCGCATGCGCCATATAGCGAAAACCTCTCAAAAAAAAAAAAAGAGATGAGGGGAGCTGACTGTGGGAAGGAGGGGTAGGAGGAGATAGCAGGGGCTGAGGTGCTGAGGCCGGGCTCCCCACTCTTCACCACCAGACATGATGTAGTCCTGGAAGGGAGGGACCTGAAACCTATAGCGCAGCAGGAGCAGGTGTGGCCCGCGGCCTGAGAAGAGACCAGAGAAATCTGTGGGCTCCGTGCAAAAGTTGCTGAAGGCCCCCACAGCCAGAACCCCACGTGGGTGGAAGCCGAAAAGCCCATTCCTGGAGGGATCCGACTTTTTTTTTTCTGTTTTGTTTTTAAGAATTATATAATTTAACTTTATTTTATTTATTTTAATTTGACCAGAGAGAGACAGGGAGAGAGAAAGTAAGAAAGCAAGCTGCCAGGTCCGGGACTTGAACTGCAGTCGGCCATGTAGGAATCCAGGGTCCTTAACCACCATGCCACCTGCCAGCCCAGGCAGCTGTGGTTTTAACCACCTGGGGAGCAGAGGTTACAGCACCCACCCCGCAGAGAGACTGGGCCTCTGGGGGTGATACTTCACGAGTGTGTTCTGAAACCTGACCCCTACCCAACACCCTTCCCCGATAGCCCTCACTGAGATGCAGAAATAGTCACCGAAATGTCTCCAGACCATCCAGTTTCCCACCCAGGCAGAGTGGTGGCCTGCCCTGGGCATGTTTCTGTCTCACAGAGCCAGACCAGGTAGAGGACCACTAGATCCAGGCCCCGCCCAGGAATGCAAGGGACAGCATGGCCGGGCACATCTGGGCTGGAGCACAGGGAAAGGCACTCAGAACCCAGGAGTTAAGCCTGACCTCCTCTGCCACTCTTGCCCTCCCTAGCTGGCATCCTATCAGGCATCCAGGCCCTTTCATCCCACTGCTCCCCAGATCCCTTCAAGGACCCCAGAGGTCCCTGCACCACCCTCTCTCCTGACCATAGGGAATTGGAGCTCCAGATGCCAGGGCACCAGGATCCTTGGTTTGGGGACTCACTAGCCTCAAGAAGGGGAAGAGTCACTGCAGGACAGCAAACACTGAGAGCCTTGCAGAGGAGGCTGGAGGAGGCTGCCAGAGGGTGGACTGTGGTCTCACGGGCAGCTCTTAAGTGCTTCCCCTTTTTCATTTTAATTTTATTTATCATTATTATTTTTTAATATTTTCAGACACACACACACACAGAAAGTGAGAAAGCGAGTCTCTAGGTCCGGGACTCAAACCACAGTCAGCCAATGTGGGAGTCTAGTACCATTAACCACCACGCCACCTGCCAGCTCCACGTGCTTCCCCTTTAGACACAACCCATGGGTCCTGACTCTTGGCCCTAGTCCTACCCCTTTCCACCTGCTTTGCTGACTTGCACATTGCGCCGTGTGAGCCTAGGAAAGGATGGGTTAATAACTACTTGAGCTCAAAGGATCATGACCAATGGGACCAAATGGAAATTACCAGGCGTGTGGCCAGGAGCCTGAGGCAAGGTGTTTGAACTTTGTGGAGGTCAGGGCATTCCGTCTTCCTGAGAAGCCTGGCTGGTGGAGGTCTGGAGAGTGGCGGTTCCCACACAAGTGAGAGCAGTCTGAGAACCCACAGTGGGGCCAGCTGGTGGTGTGGTGGTTAAGGCAGCTGGATCCGACATGGTTGAGTGCACAGTTTGAGTCTTGGCTTGAAAAGCACACTGGGCACTTATGTGTACATGCCTAAAATCCCGAAAGGAGACTGGAGAAGGGATTGTGGTGTGGCCATCTCCCAAACGGTGCTTTCTCACTTTCCCTCACTCCCTTTCTGGTGAGCACAAGCTCCTTCTGGATAATTAAAAATAAATAAAATATATGGGAGAATTTGTGTAGGTTAGATGCAAATACTTACATATTTATTGAGAGAGATAAGCACCCTCAACAGGGTCTCGCGAAAGGACACTGGAGAAGGGATTGTGGTGTGGCCATCTCCCAAACGGTGCTTTCTCACTTTCCCTCACTCCCTTTCTGGTGAGCACAAGCTCCTTCTGGATAATTAAAAATAAATAAAATATATGGGAGAATTTGTGTAGGTTAGATGCAAATACTTACATATTTATTGAGAGAGATAAGCACCCTCAACAGGGTCTCGTGCCCTACCCTTACCCAGCCACCCAGGATCACAGCACATGTGTTGTGTGCTTATGTGCCCAAAACCCCAAAAGGAGGGGAAAATGGAGGAGAAAGGATTGTGCCATGGCATTCCTTCCTTTTCTATTTCTCTCTGATGAGCACACACCCTCTCTAGCAAATTAAAAAAAAGACAGGAAGGAAGGAAACCCAGTCACTAGGCCTGATCCCTGAGGTTTAGAACCTGCAGGTACATTTCCTAAAAAGCAGCTTGGATCTCTGTGTGAGGAGATACTCCAAGAGGGAAAGGCCTTCTGGGAAAGGCTGAAGATTGTGAACCCCTTGAGAGAGGGCCCTTGAGTTGTGGGGGTCACCAAATGTCCTCCCTATCACCATGGCCTCCCTAGCACTGACCAATAGGTGTGTGTTGGCATCTTTGCAAGGTCAGGGAACAGATTTAGGGGGTCCACTGGGTGCCCTCACATGCCCTCTTAGTATAAAGTACTTCCCCTTCACCAAGGGATCCTCTGGTTAAGGTCATCTGCTCCAAGCCATCAGCCATAAGAGGACAGCTATGCTTTGTGCTTGACGTACAGATGCACAATGAATGAATGGTGGGTCTGCAGGGAATGGACCAGTGCCATGCAGGCTGGGCACTACCTTTCTGTTCCTGTCCACTGCCTCTTTATGCAGGCTTTTCAAGCTGGGGGCCTCGCCAAGAAGTGTTTCTTCTGTTCCTGCTCAGTCCACATCTACGCACAGGGCAACTGATAGGTGGGGGGCGGGGGGGGTTAAGGGGAGATGGATTTAAAAGCTCGGCCCGAAAGATGTTCCATCTACCTGAAAGGCAACCCAACCAGGTCATCAGGCCTACTTACCCAGAAGGAAGGTTTTTCTTTTTCTTGGAGAGGTTTTTGCTATAGGGCATGTGCGCTCGCCAACAAGACAGAGAGAGACAGAGAGACAGAAAGGGAGAAATCCCCCCCCCAGGGGGGATGGCCATGCCACAATCCCTTCTCCTCCATTCTTCTCTCAGGATCATGGGCACACATGCATACGTACCTGGCATGAGTTTAAGCCACTGGGTCCAGGACTCGAACCACAGTGGACTACATGGGAGTCCAGCGACATAGCCATTACACTAACTGCTGGTCCCCAGGAATGGAGGCTTTTTGAGGGAGGTTTCCTGAGAGGCCAGACAGGAGGAAGGAAGTGGGGCATTCTAGCTGAGGATGGTGGGCTATCCAGAGACAGGAAATGTCCTAAAATAGGTGAACAAGCCTATGTGTGTGTGTTTTCAGAACAATCTTATTTTATCCATTATTGTTTTTAAATTTGATTAATAAAAAACTGAGAAAGAAAAAATGAGAAAGCAAGCTGCCAGGTCCAGGACTCAAACTGTGGTTGACCATGTGGGAGTCTAGTGTCCCAACCATGAGGCCACCTGTGGCCCCCACCTGTTTGATTTTCGGAAGGACTTCAAAATGAGACAGTAGAGAGAAAAATTCAAAAAGTTAGTGCAAAGCTGGGAAAGACTAAGCTGAAGGGGTATGACCTGCTGTCCCCAAGGTGCCTCCAAGATCTTGGGCAAGGGCTCAATGGTCTCCCAGGGGCTGGAAGCAAGCCCTACCTCAAGAGGCTTCTTGGTTCCTTCCTGAGGCTGCTTCACACACTGCTCTTCTCGGAAGCTTTCTGAGGACACTCTGGGAATTTTCCTTTCCTGTCCTGTGGACTAAAACGTTGGTCCACTGGGAGGCCCTACCTTGTTTTCCTTCACAAGAACATGTACTTCCGGGGGACTTCCTTCTCCTCGCACTGTCCCTGGAACCCAGCGCAGGGCCACGCCACCCTCTTCACACAGGGGAGAACGTGTGGTAAGAGGATTGGTGAGGTGCAGTGAGGAGCGTGGGCTGGGCTGGGCGGGTTTCCAGCTGAGCCTGGCACGGGAGGGCCTTTGGGTCTGGTCCTTCTCCTGAGCTTCTGCAGCTCTAGCAATAAGGACATGGGAGCCAGGGAAGTTTCCAGGTCCCCACACAGGCCTCACATTCTGCCTCTTCCTTCTCTACTCCTTCCCTTTGAAGTTAATCAGGATCTCTCCCCCACTCTGAGTGGCAAGAGAAGAGACAAGGTCAGTAGATAGAGGAAAGATGACAAATGGACCAAGAGTTACAAATTCTCCTTTACTGGGAGGGAGGCTGAGAAACCTTAATAACTTATCACACGGGGAACCCCCGAAGTCCTCTCCCCATGGACCATGGGGGCTGAAGGGAGGGGCAAGGGGCTCCAGCAGCTTCCTGAGAGGGCTGTGTATTGGGGGTAAGGCGACACATTCAGTCCCACACAGAACACACACTTAGGAAGTGAGGAGACAGACCGCCGTCTCCTAGGGTGGGGGCCCGGCCCCCGCAGAAGGCACAATGGCAGAGAAGATTTGGCACAGTGGTTGAGTGTCAGGGGTCGACAAAGGACACCATGATGTAGCGAGTGCCCCGTGTTGTGGGCAGCCCCTCGTGGTAGTGGGTGAGGCGGCCAGGATGCAGGAGCCCCCAGCCCTTCCGTGGGGACGAGACCACACAGTCGTAGCGCAGGAAGCGGCAGCCACCTCCCTGGGAAAAGGGGAAAGGAAAGAAATGGAGACAGGGCCAGGCGGCGGTGTGGCAACACAGCTGGACCTTTGTGGGACGGCTGCAGGGCTGTGTCCTAGGACCACTGCGGCACAATGGCGCTGTGCCTGTGATCTGGGCTAGTGGCCGCTTGTGTCGAGCTCCTGCTACATGGGCCTGCTTTTCTCTCATGGAAGAAATAAGTAAATAAACTTAAAGAAAAAGAAAAAAAAGCTGAGCAGATGTGGGGACTGGCAGCAGGAAGATATGGGTGCGCTGGGGCATCCACAGGCAAAGGAGACGCAGGAGGAAGGGGGAGGCAACTAACCCAGAAGGGATCTAGATGACACCTAGGTGGAGTTCTGAGCGGGGACAAGAGTCCCGAGGTGAAGTGTGTGTGTGTGGTTGTGTGCATGTGTGTGTGGAGGAGCCCGGCCACGCCCCGAGGTGGGAGAGGTAGGGGCTCACCTCATAATCCAGGCCCTTGTGGTTGAGGGCAACGTTGAGAGTGAAGGTGGAGGAGTCGTGATGGGGCTGCAGAGAGGGCTGCTCATCTGGCCGGTAGCGTACCACGAAGTTCATCACGGCCCGGGTCTGTGGGGACATGAGAGAAGAGGCTGGAGCTTGGCCACAAGGTGTGTGTGGGGCAATGGGGGGGGGGCAGTTATTTTTTTTTCATTCTTATTAAAAATTTTAAAAAATAATTATTTAGGGATCTGCAGGTGGTGTGGTGGTTAAGGTGCTGGACAATCCCACATGGCTGACCACGGTTCAAGTTCCAGACCTGGTGGCTTGCTTTCTCACTTTCCCTCTCTCTCTCTCTGTGTGTCTCTCTCTGGTCAAATT